ATGAAGAACTGTTGTTTGAGGCTTGCAGCTGAAACTGAGCCTTTAACTGGTTGCAAAAACCTGTGTGGACTTTTCTTTTGGACCGCATCGCCCCATGTCCCCTTCCATCAGTGTGCCAGCACAGCAGTCACTTTTTATGAAGTTTATCTGCGAGAAAGTCAAGCTTGAATCATTTTAAACTGAGTCAGCTTCCCTTTGTGGCTGATCACAGAGGTTTAGATACAGTTTTCCCCATCGCTTTGCAGTGACCTTCTCATGCAACACACATTCCAGAGAGTTGTGGTATATTTTTATCTAACATGAGAAGACATAGTTTTTGTACCCAAGATGGAAAACTAGATGATTAATGGTACAGAATCCAGATATGGGTTTTGAACGTAAGACTGTCTGATCTTTAAATAATGCCATCATTCTGGTCCTGTTGCTGCGAGGCTAACTTTCAACTGCTGGAGTGGTATGAAGGCCTTGGAATAGATTTAGAAACGGTGTATTTTAGTGGAATTGTATCACTTGGTGACAAAAAAAACTGCATGTAGTTTCACATCTTCCTAGAAATCCCTTTACTGCAATATCTCAGTCTCGGTTACCTGAGAGTGCTAAGGATAAGCTAGTGGACAAGCTTACACAAAGTTTTGAGGACTTTGTGCCATCTCATCGATCCCTCTGGCAGCAGTATCCTTCCATGACCTTGTCATCTCCTAAATTTAATTCTAGGTTTCTTCTCATACAAGGACATATATGTCAAAGTAAGAGGAAGAGCCGATAAACCATCGGTCCCTTAAGGAATGCAGAAGGCAGCCTAGTTACTGATGATGCAGAGAAAGCTGAAGTATTTAATGCTTTTATTTTTTTATATATCAGTCTTCACAAATAGGCGCAGCTGCCAGAGGCAGTAAATATAGGGATGAAGACAAACAGCCTAGAGTAGTGGAAGAAAAGGTTAGCGATTACTTAGAGAAGATGGATGCTTTCATGTCAGCAGGGTTGGATGGGATGCACTGTAGGATACTGAAAGTATTTTAGTAATTTCAGAGCCATTGGCTATTTTCTTTGGGGACTCATGGAGGTTGGGTGAGGTCCTGGATGACTGGAAAAGGGCAAATATGGTGCCCATCTTTCAGAAAAGGAAGGAGGAAGATCCAGAGAATTACAGACCAGTCAGACTGACCTCGATACCTGGAAAGCTCATGGAGCAGGTCCTTAAGGAAGCTATAGCACCTAGCAGGGAAAAAAGTGATCAGGAATAGCCAGCATGGATTCACCAAGAACAAGTCATGCTTGACCAGCCTGATTTCCTTCTATGATGAGGTGGCAGGTTCTGTGGGTGGGGAGAGAGCCGTGAATGCGATATGCTTTGACTTTAGCAAGGATTTTGAAGCTGTTTCCCACAACTAGATGAAAGTACTATAAGGTGGATAGATAACTGTTTGGATCATCATGCTCAACGAATAGTCATCAGTGGCCCAACACGTAGTTGGGAGGGGATATCAAGTGGGGTTCCCCAGGGGTCTGTCCGAGGTCTGGTATTGTTTAGTATCTTTATTAATGATTTAGTTGATGGGATTGAATGCGTGCTTAGCAAATTTGTGGGTGACGTCAACTTGGGTGTAGTTGCAAACACTGGACGGCAGGTCTAGGATCCAGAATGACCTGGATGGACTGGAAAAATGTGTGGTGGAAGTGGCTCTAGAGCATCCCCCACCCTTGCATTAGTGAGGACAGGGGAAGGGGAGGAGACATACCTCTGGCCATGGATTGCAAGGGAGGGAATGCTTACCTGCTTAGGGGATTGTAGGAAGTCCCCATCTGCTGCTTCTGCAGTGTGACTCTCCGTGTCATTGTCTTTAATATTTTCTGTTGCTAATGCACAGATTGATCCCAGCCCCACTGATGATAACAGATCTCTCTGTTGCCTTCACTGGCTTTTGAACCGGTAGGGTAGGGTGGGGAATACTGGTCCCAGTGCAGCTACTGATAGTCTTGCCATTGAATTCATGGAGTCAGGGTCAAACATGGTAAGTGCAACTGTTCCTACCGTTGGAGCTCTGCTCCTGGCCAATGCATTTGTCTTTCTCCATGTGACTATACTAGATGTCTAAATAATTTGCAGCGTGCTCCGCTGTATCCGAGTACTTCCTCAGGTGATACAGTCGTTTGAAATCCCACATGCCCTTTTTGTAAGGAGCTGTTGTGATCTGCTGCAGTTGTGTGCACTGGCTGCAAAGGCAGAGCTACTGGCAGGGTAATTTCTTGTCCTCAACTCCATAGCTCCCTTTCTCTGGCTGCCCCAGGCATGGCTCACTGATATGCTTGTCCTCCTGCAAAGCCCAACTCCTTCCCCGGGGACTGGAGCAGACGTGAGACTGATGGGTAGAGGAGCCTGAAGGATCCTCAGGGCCTTTCTGTTAAGGACAAAGTATGGGGGCCTCACATGCAGAACAGTTGCCTTTCTCTGTGGTGCGTGTGGGAGGAGGAGGTCACACAAGGGGTGCACACATCGGGAATGGCACGCAGCCCAGTCCACGGGTGGTCCCTGTGTTCGCTCTATAGGAGAGAGTGTGTGCGCATACGTCTGTGGGAGGGAAAGGACAAGGTCCCAAACCCTCCGTAATATGGACTCTTTAGTCCCTTGTCCCCATAGAGAGAGGGACCTATGCAGTAAGGCAGCAGTGTGCACAGCCTCCTTTCTGTTTGAGAAGCAGCTGTAGCCAAAAGTTTTCCTCCCTGCTTGCACCCAGTTTTCCTCCTCAGATGCTGGGAGAATATTTAAGAGACCTGAGTCCAGCTCTGCAATAGGAGGAGATTGGCTGGTCACCTAATTGATCCTTTCCATCCCCGACTTCAACTCAGAGCTCTTACATTTTTCTTTCCCTGAATCCAGGGTCTTGCAGTTCATCTTTAATCCCATCCCTTCTATTATTGGTTTTACAGTACACTACCATTTGCCCAAACTGCCCCGTTGTGTGCTGAATATGTTCCCACCAATGGTTGACCCCAAATTTGGCTGGAAAGATTAGCCTGTAACCAGCAAGGGTATTATTATTTATACGTTGCCCAAAGGGTACGTGGCAAGGGCCTTAATGCAGTGAACTTCAGAAATCAACCAGAAATATTCTGCCACCGTTAACAGGCACCGTCAGAGGGGGACCATCAGCAGCAGTCATAGACCTTTAACAGACGCTGTCATCTGCTATCCGTGCACTGAGCTGTCAGTTCTCTACGATGGCTTTTCATTCCCTGACTTTGAGTGTAGGCTAGAAAGTAGAAAACGGCTTCTCATGCTCATTGCATAAAGGTCTTGGTTTCTCCTGCTCAGAGCCTAAAGGTCTTGGAGCAGCCACCCAAGATGGACAAACCCCCACAGTGGTATGGGATGGAGCATGATTGTTTTATTCCATGGCTAGTTGCAATGCCAGCGAATAGGACTTGATGGCCCACGAGCTCCCTGTTCCCCCATGTGTAGCACGCTGCCCCATAAGGAGCCCTATTGACTGGCTCTTCAGTAAAGCGCTCGTCAATGTGAGGAAACTTAGCGCTGTATGACTGTTGATTTAAACTTGGTGTGAATCTGGACTTACATGGTCATTGCCTATTGAATAAGCAATGATTAACATCTGAGGTCCCCAGGACCTGCTGCCCATCCTTGTAATTAGGAGGGGCTTTACCCATGGGTGGGCCTACAAGCCCACCCACCTCCTTGTGTGGAGCCAGGATAGCTGAGGTTCCCATTGTCCCCATCCCAACGGCTAATGCAAAAGTTGAAGTCTGTCCCACCGGCCTATGTTCCACCCTAGATCCCTGGACAAGAAATATATCCATGTTATTAATCAGAAGTCATAAAAAAAGAACCCAAAGTGGACTTTTTCCAAGCCTAATCACGGAGTTTTACACCATTTGTGTCCTGATAAACAAAGATGCTGTCAGCTCTGATGGTCTGGGATAAAAAAAAATATATGATGTTGCCTTTATAGCACAGCTGCTGCCATTGTTTTACTTTAAGTATTAAAGGCAGCTGAACCCAAAGCCACCTCTGTGTGGGAATGGCATTTATTGCATGTTAAATAGATCCCTTGTCTCCTGCTTAAAAAAAAGGCCTTGAAAAAATTAAAATGCAATTATTGAAGGTCTTGGCACTTCCTCTTTTTCCTAGCATTGTATAAGGTCCTAATTGAATTAGTAGTTTGATCTTCAGCATTCAGTTTGCTGCGTATTTCTTGGGAAATCCTAGTTTGCAAACACCCTTGAAATGTTCCCGTGGCATTTGAGATTTGCCTAGTCAGCAGCACGGGAAAACTTTTCTGCACGTAGCCGGGGCTCTATTTGGCCATATTCTTAGTCTTTGTTTAAATCCCCCATTGACCTAACTGGGAGTGCTGCATGTTGAATGATGAGAAATGTGGTCTGCTGGCATCTCGGGAGCCCAGTCCAGTGCTCATGCACTTGGGTGGGTAAGCCCTGGCGGGGGCAAGTCCTAAATTCCTTTAGACCAACAGATGACTTTACCATCTCTATTAACCTTAAGCCTTTTTGCACCTAGTGTATCAACACCCCCATCTCTGCCCCTCTCGCTTCACTAAATGCAAGAATACCTTGCCAAAAAAGAGCAAGCTTCAGTCCTTTTAAAAGCGCGTCTGGCTTTTTTTGGTACATGGCTTTTCTCCAGCATGATACTGGAGGCGAGGAGAACGTCACATCACCACCCGCTGAGGATCCCTAGCAGCATCCTTTTGTTAGTAGACTAGCTCACCCCGATCTCTGCTAATGATGACAATATATTCCCTAAGGAAAGCCGCAACAGCGAATGTGCCAAACTCGATTGTTTCTATGGGATCAAAACGAGGCTGGAAGCTCAGAGGGTACGTGTAGGTCTCTGATGAGGTCCTGAAAAATTGCTGTAGTATTTTCCAATTCGTCTATTGGTTTTCATACTGCTCTGGCTGTGTTGAATGTGTGAGCCCCTTAGCTAGTGCTAATGGGAATGTTTTCTCTGTCTGCTGCAGGGATCGCTTACCTGGGAGGTGTATGCAGCGCCAAGAGGAAATGTGTTCTTGCAGAAGACAACGGTCTCAATCTGGCATTTACCATTGCTCATGAGCTTGGGCACAAGTAAGTGGTGATCCTGATATTCCAGCCACGTGCAGATGCAACTGTGCCTTGCCTTACAGGCGGAATAACTGCCGTCATGCCTAACTCGGCTTCAGCTGACATGTTGATGAATTGCCTGATGTTTGGGGGATTTACTGGAGTAGCTCTTTCAGCATGCAGGATTTTCCTTGTTTGACCCTTCGCCTGTTGTTAAATCCTGCATTTAAATGAGGGCCCTTGTACAACTAGTAAAAAGAAACCCCATTGGCTGAGCTAATGGACGATGGGGATATTTTGCAGACCATTCTGCTTTTGTTATTTTGGGACAACTCCTGAATAACTTTGGTGACCCTGTGGAATTCCTTCAGATTTTTTCCAGTATACCTAAAAATAGCAGATTTTGTCTTTTAAAGCATGCATAGGATAAGACTTTCAGAAATCAATGCCTAAAGTTAAGCTCCTAGGTGCCCAAATAACCAGTCCTGTTTTTCCAGCAGCGCTAAGCACCCAACACTTTGTCAACCTACTCAGCTGCCACAAGAATAACTGAGAAGCCTGTTGTGTTAGAGGAGCATTGTGCCTGTGATGCTGTCAGCTTCCTGTAGCGTTTTTAATAAAGTGCAAGTTCCCTCTGTAGAATCACCAAAAAAATACATAGGAAGAATAATAATGGGCCCAAGCTAGCAAAAAAAAAAAAAAAAGATGCAGATCCATATTTTCCCAAAACCAGGAGTACCCAGATCTAATTTTTATTTGGGCCAAGACTTGGAGAAAGGCCCAGCCACAAAGTTCAGCTCCAGCTCAGGACTTTGATGTTTTTTTCATAGATTTTTAGGGTTGGAAGGGACCTCAGTAGGTCATTGAGTCCGACCCCCTGCCCCAGGCAGAAAGAGCGCTGGGGTCAGATGACTCCAGCCAGGTGCTTGTCCAGTCTCCTCTTAAAGAAATGACTTTGCTTTGATGATGGTTGGGTCTAGAGGTGTTGATTTTTGCTAACCTTTGAGCATTGACAGAAATCAAATTTCAAAGTCACCTTTGATTGAAATTATTCACAGAAACTTCATTTTAAAATGTGAATATCCAAGAAGTGCATATATGACTAGGGAGAGAAATAGCACCGTCTGATTTATCAGGCCAGTCCCAATTAAAGGAACTTTTGAACACTGTCTCTGGACGAGTTGCAGATAAGATGATCAATTCATAGACAAACCAAGCCTTTGTAAAAACAAAAAGTGTGGCATGCTGGAAACTAGGAAATTCTAGGAAAGTTCATGATGCTTGTAAATGTTTGGTGTCTTGGAGGGGGCGGCGCAGGCTAATTTGATTAATTTTAAAAAGTCAGTTACTACAAGTTGCTTGCACTGCTGTTCTGTTTGAGGCTAAAGACATTGTAATTTGTTCAGGCTTTCACAGTCACGCTTTGAGTTGGGTCCAAAGCAGGATGGCAGAATTCTCTGCCTTCCAAAGTGCAGTACGACCTACACAAATGCAAAGGTACAGGCCTTTCTCCTCCTCCACTCAAATGGCTGTGTTCACATCATGTCTTAGTTACACCATGCAATGTTTAGGACGTTTTTACAACTAGCAGCTCTTGTAATGGAAAGAGTATTTTGATCAAATCCTATTTTTTGCGGTCTTTAGAGAGCATCTGTTTTGGAATTCTTGGCTGAATGCTGATAGCCTCCTTGTGTTTATAGTCCTATTATATACTCACTCCCTACAATAACAAATATTTGATAGCTAAGCTAAAGCTGATAAATCATATTAAGTTTCTGGCCCATCCGCCTGCATACTAGGTGATTGTTTTATGGAAGTGTGTGGCTTCAGAAATCTAATTTGGGAGTTGCATGGAGGCTATTTAGGCTACCACCAAAAAATGACAAGATGAACATGAAGCTCCTATTCATCTTTGAATGACACCAGAGTCAAATGAGCCAAACCAAGGGTGGTTTCGGCAGGAGAAATGAAGGGCATTTGGTTTTGCTTTTATTTTAACCACATGCCAAGCTGTTGAAATGATTCCAAGCATAATATAAAATTAACCTGCGGGTAACATTAAGGGAAGTCAGGATTCATTTTTTGGATGAGACAAGGCTGAGAGGGGAGAATATTTTATCTGTAGCAAAGAGCAAGAGCCCACCCTCCTCCACCCCTGCAGTGCTTGCCACTGTTCCCTGCAGGGCTAAGTACTGCCTTGTAAGAAGTACTGAATGTGATGATATAAAGGCTTAGTATTGATCTGTAGGTATCTGCATCAAACTACAAGGCCTGGGTGCCTCTCTTGGGGCCTAAGGCACCTGGGCCTCCAGCCTCTTCAGTGTGGCAAGGAAGGAAAGGTAAGGGAGCAGGCACGCATCTGTCTGTTATCACCACCCATGATGTGTTGCAAACCATCCTCCATCCAAATCTGCTGGCCTGGATTTTTGCTGCAAAATCTGATCCCTTCTTTTGTGCATTTGAGGCCTGATCCTGCTCTCTTTAAAATCAACAGGAACCTTCCCATTTACTTTAATGGAGATCAGACCCTTGCTTATTTTGTTTGTCGTCATGTTTTCCTGTAGCAGTTAGCCACGTGCTAGTCTTGAACTACAGCAGGATGGTCCGAATGCTGATACTTTTAGTATAGCATGGTGAAGGGAAGGGCAGGTCATATAGTTCATCTACAACACTGTGGTTGCCCTAAGATGTCTATAGCACGGGGCGGGCAATTATTTTGGGCAGAGGGCCCCTTACTGAGTTTTGGCAAGCCGTTGAGGGCTGCACGACGGGCAGCCCAGGAAAGATTAATATTAATTTTCTAAATATTTTAGGGGCCCCGTGGGCCAGATAGAATGGCCTGGCAGGCCGCATCCAGCCCCCGGGCCACATTTTGCCCACCCTTGCCATAGGATGTGAGGGATCTCCCGAGTGAGACACTGCAGCTGAGCAAATGAATCCTGGGATTTACAGTGAAAAACCAAAAAAATATTTCAAGGGCCTGATACAAAACTCCAAAATTATTGTTTAAAATGCTGACAATGTGGACTAAAGTCAACATCCCTATGGGGGGGAAAAATAGACAATTTGGAGCCCCCCCCCCCCC